GCTGAAAAGACCCAAGGAACTACACTAGTGCCCTGAGCTAGAGCCACGTGAAGACTCACACAAGGGCCGAGATGCTTACAACGCCACTGGATCCACAAGACTTTCTTTCCACCCACTGGCCTGCGATCTTCCTGCATTCAGCGTCATTGCATGTGTTTTGTGAGTCTGAAAAGGACTTTACAGACTGATATTGCACTTATGGGCTAATCTGGACTGGGCTGAGATGTTTTCTCAATGCTCAACTGCTCTTTATATAAAGCTCTTTCTTATACACATAAATGCGTGCCTCTGGATTTGTTTCACTGGTCAACCCAGACTAGTACACAGGGGTTCACAATAGGATTACTGGAAACAATAAAGGAGTTTGGTAGTGTAGCAGGAAATAAGATTAACAAATAGAAATCAACTGGATTCCCATATACCAGTGATGCGAACACTGAGAAAGGTATCAAGGCATAGTACCATTAATAATTGCCATGCAGAAACTAAAATACTTATAAACCCAACAAAAAACGTAAAATCCAAAGCTATCAGGATCATCAATGAGAAAATTGGGACAAAGCTAGGAGGAGACCTAGTGCAGGGAGTATACAGGCTATCAGATAATTCTGGTAGCAAAGGAAACTCACTCTGTTGAAGATAAAATAGATGAATGGGACCCATTAAGAATAAAACACTTTTGTACATTGAAAGACTTCATTAAAAGACTCAAAAGAGAGCAGACTGGAAAAAGATATTTAGGAATGATGTAACAGACAAATACTTGTAATTATTACAATCTCTAGAATTTTACAAGCTTACAAAATGAAAAAAAATCCTAATAGCCCTCTGAGAAGGTGGACAAAAGGTCTGAAGAGATGAGTCACAAAAGATGACACTTGAATGGCTAATACACTTGAGGAAATGCTCCAGGTCATTAGCCACCCAGGAAATGCAACTCAAAACAAGATACCACCGAACGCCCATTACTATGGCCCAGTTTTTAAAAATTGAAAACACCAAATGTCGGAGAGGGTGTGGTCAGATAGGAACTTTTATCCACTGATGGTGGACTTGTATAGCCACTGTGGAAAGAAATGTAATACTTAGAACAGATGGAAATTGAACTAGCATATGACCCAGCAATATTACAGGGCATATACCCCAAATAAGTAAGAAACATATCATGAACAGATGTTTGCTCCCCCATATTCATCGCAGCACAGTTCACAAAAGCCAGAAGTTGGAAACAGCCTAAATTCCCATCAATAGAAGAGTAGATTAAAAAAACCTCTGATACATACACACAATGGAATATTATACACATCCCTTAAAAACAGCGATGAAGCCATGAAACACCTCAACTCATGGAGACATCTGGACAGCATTCTGCTGAGTGGAGTTATTCAGGCACAAAAGGGCAAATACTGTATGAGTCCGCTGTGTAGGAACAAGCAGCAGAACGGGCACAAGCTCAAGTTTGCAGGCCGTGCAGAGCCTGGTAAGGAGCTGGAGTGCCACTGAACCACAGACCATCTGCTCCAGCTAAGTATACTGTAGGTCACCTGGCCGAAAGGCACCTAATGACAGCTGGGATCAATGGACGGGAAGAGGGGGAGGAAGCTGTTTACTGAATCTGGGGTGAGGTTCTCCAGAGAGGGAGGTGGCCCTGTCAGAGGGATGAGGCTTACAGAGGGAGGGGGGACAAGGGGAGAGGGAACAAACAAGTTTGAGGGAACATAGGTGCACCTCTGTTGAGGAGAGGGGAGAGGAAGGGCTAACCCCAGGATGGAGGAAGGAGAGACCAAGGATGCTCTTGGGAGTAGGTGGAGAGGGTCTTTAGTGGCATGCAGCAGGTGAGCAGAACTGACCTGAGTTATCTGGGAGTATCCCAGGAACCCAGACCAGGTGCCGGGGAACACTGGGACACTGAATCCTGAATCTTCAGGTTGCATGGCAGGATCCAGAAGCAACATCGGAGAGACCCCATATGGGAACCCCACTGGGTGAACTGGACTTTACCTCAGACACACTTTTATCCAAAAAACACCTGGTATCCGAGGAAGCAGAAGACAGCTTTACCAAGAACCGTGCAGTTGGTTGGTGAACAAACAAGGTCTGGCTATATCAATGCCCAGTATGCTGTATTAAGATACATATTACTCCCACAATCCTGTGACAAGTCATCCTGCTATAGTACACTTATGCATGTTTATAATGGGTGTATCTTAGAGGTGTGCCACCATGGGGGGGTCATCGTTTGAAGTTGTGCTACTGGCTTCTCTGTTTTTCAGTAAAGGAAACCCAGGGAAGTTGAGGAAGTGTTATATTTTCTATAGGGGAAGAAAATATAACAAGGATTTGGGGTGGAAGGGCGATACAGAGGGGTAGGGGAAATATGAAAGAGATGATGTCAGGAAGTCCAGGAAGGAAATGAATGTATGGTTGGAGACTGATTATGGAAGCAATTGTACAATCGTGTTTGAAAGGATTGAACTACGGAATGATATGAAGTGTATTAACTCCCAAGGTACAGCAAATTTAAAAGAATGTATAGATTTAGGCATGGGTTTTAAACTCACACTAAATTCTAGCTCTAACTTAAGAACTATTTGTTCTTACAACATGGTCCTGCTTGATACTCACCTTTACAAAATGATTACTGAAGATAAGGGTGTTATGGCAAAGTGTGGTAAAGAAAGTAGATGGTGCCCGGCTACCAATCAGAATAGTGTCCGGGTTCTTAAAGGCTTATACGCAAACAAGCAGCCATTTAAGCAAGGAGTCAACTAAGTCCACACAGAAGAAGCACACCAGCTTGTGTGATCCAAAGATGATAGTTACAAAATTCTAATATGGTGAAAAGAAAAGTATCAGAGATAAAGTTATAAATATCTAATTTGTAGAAGGCCATGGAGGACAGTGGAAGCTCAAAACCCATCTGCAGAGTATCTGGCCAGACTGAGCCCCTGGCAGATCTGTTCTAGCCAAAGGGTCTCAAACAGCCTTACTATCTGACAGAGACCACTGTAATCTTGATTATGCTGTATCGAACTCGATACTTGTGTACTGATTTATGGGTTGTGGCTAATGGCATGGCTGTATAGTCAGGGAATTGGAAGGAACATGACTGAAAATTTGGTGACAAGGAGATGTGGGGAAGAGGTATGTGGATAGACCTCTCTGAATGGGCCAAGAAAGTAAAGATAACTGTGTCTCATGTGAACACTCACCAAAGGGTTACCTCTGAACAGGAGGACTTGAACAATCAAGTGGATAAGGTGACAGGCACTGTGGAAACTAGTCCTCCTCTTTCCTCCGCCGCTCCTGTCACTGCCCAATGGGCACATGAACAAAGTGGACATGGTGGCAGGGATGGAGGTTTTGCATGGGTGCAACAACATGGACTTCCACTCACCAAGGCTGCCTTGGCCACTGCCACTGCTGAGAGCCCCATCTGCCAGCAGCAGAAGCCAACACTGGGTCCAAGATATGAGACCATTCCTTGGGGAGGTTGATTACAGAGGGCCACTTCCGTCCTGGAGGGGGCCAGTGTTTTGTTCTTACTGGAATAGACACCTACTATGGATATGGATTTGCCTTCCCTGCACGCGATGCTCCTGCCAAAACTACCATTCACGGACCTATAGAATGCCATATAGCAGGGCTTCAGATCAAGCAAACGAAGTGTGGCAATAGGCCCATGCCCATGGACTCCACTGCAGCAACGAAACTGATAGCATGATGGAATGGCCTCTGAGACACAATTACAGCAACAGCTAGGTGGCAACACCGTGCAGGGCTGGGACATTGTTCTCCAATATTATCCTCTGGATGGCATATAGAAATAAATAATTTTACATATTCATTCATTCATACGGTATATACAAATATGGTATATACTCGAGTATAAGCCGACCCACCTATCAGCTGAGGCACCTAATTTTACCAAAAACTGTGCTGAAAAATTTGGCTTATACACGAATATGTACAGTACATTATGTTTAATAAGTACCAGTTATTGTTCCTATGGTGGAGAGATAGTAAAGAAACAAAAAATGAAGTCCTCGCTCCAATGGCAATTATATTCTTGTGGGGATGGGCGGGTAGACTGGAGTGTGAAAGAAAGAAACTTAGATATTATAGTAATAAGTGCTATGAAGTCTGAAACAGTCCAATGTGACAGAGTATGAGAACAGTGGAAGAGTAATGGACAAGTCGGAATCGTTGACCAGAAGTCAGAATAGGAGAGTCAGCTGGGTAAAGACACAGTGTTGAGCGAATTCCAATTCTATGTTAGGGCTTTGGATTGTGCTTGGCATTGGACTGTGGATCACTGCTCTGGAGGAAAAAGAGGAAGCTGTGTGCTCCCTGTGGAGTCGTTCTAGTCGGTCCTAAATAGAGTCACCAGGAATCAGAAGTGACTGCATGGCAGGGGCTTGGTTTTGAGTACCAGTGTGTCTATGAAGACCTGGTGACACAGTGGATTAAGCGCTGGCTGCTAAAAGCAAGGTGAGCAGATTAAACAGACTAGCTACTCTGAGGAAGACAGATGAGGTAGTTAACCTCTGTGAATATTTAGTTTAAGAAACACAAGGAAGCAGTTTTACTATGTCCTACAGGGTAGCTATGAATTGGAACTGGTGATGGGTTTGGATTTATCGGAATATCTACTGAATCATACTTCATATTTCTACTGAATCATATTTCACCATCATGACACATTTTCCTTAAAAAAGATATTTAGGAGACCTAGCCATCATTATACACATTATTGAAATATATTTTTGTGTTTAGTGAAGTTTTAAATCTGTGCAAGATATATTACAGGGAATAGGATTATAAATATGATACCTACCAGAAATTTTACATGCTTATCTGTTACATTTAGTAAAATTTTTAAAAAAGAACACAACTTACATAATTCTTCTGGTGAAAGTTACTATGTAAATCTATTAAAGATATCGTAAATAGGATTTTTCTATAGCCAGAATAAACCTGGGGAAAAAATAAGCATGTACCTGAATATAATGTCGAAAAACATACAGAATTTCCCCCTGGTGAGCTTTTTCAGACAATGCTTTGTGAAATTTACTGAAGGCTTTGCTACCCAGTTCAGCATACAGAATAACCACGGGTAGGTTCTCTTTGTTTGTTGGGAATTTATGATCACCTTTAAACAGATAAGGTCTGGGCCTGAAATTGAAAAGCAAGACAAAAACCCATACATTTTAAATGAATTGAAAGTTAACAGGATATTAGAAATATACCAGGATACTTTATAACACGTTTACCAAAATTTAGAGGATTATATATATAAACAGAGAAAAAAATTTACACTTCCTATGATGGCTTTGTACATATTAGTTCTAATGAATGACAGAAAGTTTTTAGCAAAACGCTAAATATTAAAAATGCTTTACTTTGCAACAAGATTGATAATTCTTAAATATCATAAAAAGGCAACATACTTTTAATGAAATAAATTTTTTCTTCAATTGAAAGAATCTATTTTTTCTTATAGCTTATACATTCTGAAAATGGGTGCTGGCCACATTAAAAAACAAAGACAGGCACTATACAAAGATTACAGTACATACTTAAAAAAAAACCAGTTCATTAAGTTTCCAAGACAAAGTAACAGTCCGGTGTTATCATCATTGACAAAAAGGCCGTTAATTGACACCTTCTTGTCAGGCACTGTGCTAGATTCAGGCTGGGGGTGGCCAGAGGGTGATCCTCTGCTACTAACCTAGAGGTTAGAGGTTCAACTCATCGAGCAGCAGTTAGGAAGAAAGGATTGACAATCTGCTCCAGAGAGCCCTCGGGAGCAGTGGGCTGTCTGATGTAACACACGCAGTGGCCACGAGGCACACTCAACAGGAAGGGAAGAGTGGTGGACTCTGTATACTAATTAGCAAAATCTATCTTCATAATTACTTTAGCTGCTTTCATTTATTTCAAATTAAGGTTTCTGAGCCTCAGAAGTTAAATCGAAGACAAGAATTTCACCGTGGGTCTATGAAATGTCAAAGACCGTAAATTTTTCACCAGCATTGCTTTAGCTATTCAGAGATACTGAGAAGTAACCTGATTTAGTGAATTCAGCTCTTTACACTCCATTTGTTTTCAAACCAAACCCACTGTCACCAAAGTCGTGGATTCTGACTAAGTGATCTCAGGGCCCCGTCAGTTTCTGAGACTCTTAAATCCTGACAGAAGTAAGCAGGCTTATCTTTTTCCCCGCAGAATAACTGGTGTATTTGAACCACTGACCTTATGCTTACCAGTGTGTAGCCTTATTAATGATGAGAGGGATAAAAAAGAGCATGAATAACACTGGTATAGGATGACTGGGGAAAGATTTCAGGATTTGAAACCAGGTGCAACTGAAAAGAAGTGAGTGAGAACATATGATTTTTTTTTAACCAAGAAAAGAAGATCAATTTTTTATTTCTCTTAACTGTAATTGGCTATTTTTTTCTCCTCTACCCTATCTATGCCTTACTCCAGATCTGTGTTCCCCCAGGTCCTCAGAGTTACAGCAAGGACAGAGTTTTCACTTAGAAACCAGTTCCTAATTTTACTGGAGTTGTTACTGCAAAACAAACGTGCCTCCAACCGCCCAATCTCTATCCACATTATGAATAACTGGTTTCATAAAAATCTATAAATAAATTCGTTCTCAAAAAAACACTTCAAAAACTTCTGAAGAATTACTGACTTTAAAAAATCTAGCTAGAGAAATTAAGGCACCAGTCATTTGACCCCTATTTTAACAGAGATGGTGCTCGAGCACCTTTAGTTGTTTGGTCAGCAGCTGGTAAGGATTCCTGATCACTCTCATCAGAAACACAGTCTTTTATCGCGCCCTCAGCTTACAACTCCAGTCGTTTCCACTTCCTATACCATGGTGAATACAAGCAGTTATGCTGGCAATCTGGGGTCTTCATAAATGGCTCAAATGCAGTCAGATAATGAGTCTGTGTAGATCTACAAACGATATACAGATCTACTAACCAAACGGATCTACAAATTATATATATAGACCTACAAACTACAGGAATCTATAAAATATATAGACTGATCCAGACTGTCAAAGCAGCAGTGGCAATTTATTTCACAGTTCACAAACACTCTACAGCCTCTAAGTGACAGACCAGAGAGGTGACTGGCAACAGTCAGTAAGAATGTAGAAGATTCCTCATGGGGCTCCTTATTCAGGGATATGAGGCGCGCCTTGAGCTTTCCTCGTTGAGTGGGTTAACACTTGCTTTGGAATTCACAAAGCTGGTACTGAAAAGTAACGGTAGCTCAAGAGACACCTCATTAGGCTAGTGGCTTTATATGGGGAAGTGAAGTGAGGGATAAGGTTTGCCTCACAGGGGTTATCTGCCATTTCCTTCATATAAACCTGATACCAGGTTATGCTTATGCCAGCTGTGCTTGTGGGTGGGTATTTCCATTTGACCAGAGAAACTTCTTCGCTTTAGTCATTGACTCCTCATTGATCTTTGCAAAATGGAGACGTAAGTGGTGAGGTCAAGAGACCACATTGGTCGATGTTCAGTTTTAAAACAGATAGCTGCTCTTGAGAAAAATAAGTGTCCCTCCACACGAACATCAGCCTTCACAACTCCGAAACCAGAAGAACTAGATGGTACCTGGCTACTACTAACCAACCGCTCTCAAAGAAATCACAAAAGATCCTGGATAGTTTGGGAGGGAAACGTGGAACAAAACTCAAAATCCTGTAACCGACCAGGCTAACTGGCTAGAGACTAATGGAACCGTGAAAGCTATACACCTTAGTCATTCTCAGGCCTGGAAATGAACTCACCTCCGTGGCTCAATTTTCAGCCAAACAAAAGACAAGTCTGTAAAGGGAACCGAAACACTGGTGAAGTATGCACACCTTAGAACAATCAACCATGTGAGGCCAAAGGGGGAGCTTTTGCCTAAGGACCAAGCGGAGAGGGGCTGGGAGTGGAAGCAGAAAACACAAGGAGGAGGTGGGATGAGTTATGATGAATTGCAATGAATGAGATGAAACAAAATGTGTATGAGTTGCTGAGTGTAAAACTGATGGGCTGCTCTGTAAATCGTCACTCAATTCAAAAAAAGTTTAAAAATATACACTTATATATATATTTTAAAGGTGTCCTTAATTGCTCTGTCAGGCATTTGGAAAACAGCTTCTCTGGGAATTCAAACAATCATTAAGCTGTGATTTCCCCTTTCCCCTGGGATTCTATGTTGTTTCTGCTGGACCACCTGTGAGTGGAGAGACTACACGTGCTGGTCTCTGAGGGAAGAATCCCCTCTGGACTTCATAAGCATTCAGAACATTCACATAATAAGCATGTGTAAAATATGAATACCAACCATATACTCAGATATCTGAGCCAAAGCGCACCACAGTGAACTTTTAACGTCTTTCCCGCACTGTAAGCTCCTTCCAACCCCATTAGGAGAACTCACATCCTTTTCCTACAGAACGTGCTCAAAGAGCACGCCACGGACTGTAGCAATAGCTATCAGAAGACTACTGAGTACAGCCAGAAGCTCAGGGAGCACCGGTGGAAGGCTGGTAGGAAGGAAACTAAAATGTCAGCCTTTTTACTAATAGAACTTGTCTGCAGCTATCTACTGCAGACACACATTGAAACATACTTTATTTGGAATTAAAAAAAACTGATGGCACAGACATGTTTAAACATGTTTTGTTTGGAATAAATATGTGTATATATGAAATGGAGCCATAATAGCAATAGTATTTTACTTATCTCATAAAATACATGAGTACATAAAATAAAAACTTCTGTATATTAAAATCAACATAAGTGTAAGACAAAACAGAAAAAGGTTTCACAGAAATGAGAAGTATTAATATAAATTACTAAACATATATTAGTGCTTAATAAACAAAGAGCTCTTTCACAATTAAAAAAACACTTTTAAATGATAAACAATTAGGCAATGTGACAAACACTAGTGGGTGTGCATATTGTTTTGATTGCTAGCTGATGTCTATTTGTCCCCCCAATCATGCCAACCCCATTCAAATGAGATGAAATGCTGCAGCACCCACACGATCCATAGTTCTCCTGGGCAGACTGGCAGAGGAGAGCATCAGGCCTTCCTTTCCAGCCTTAGTCCGAAAGCCACTCTGAGTCATGTACAACATTACACCGACATGTAAGCTTCTATGGGCCACTGACAAGAACCGTTGGTAGATGTTCTTTGTCTGATATCTGAACCCAGATCTTCAGAAGGCAAGAACTGGTACTGGACTGTAAAAACCATTTATAAGTTAATTTTTTCTTCTGATTTTTAAAAGCGATTTTTATTTAATACTTGAAAAGAACTTCAAAGTTCTAAAGACTACATTATAACAAACAACTCCATCAAAGTTATTGCTTTAATTTTGTTCTATCACCCTGCTACCCACTCAGCTTATATTTGAGAGATACATCCCAAGTAAATCCATAATTTTGAGTGATTAGTAGGGGGAAGAACCTTCTTTTTTTAAAAAATGTATCTCATATAGTACTTTGTTACATTTAGTCTAAAAATGTTGAGACAAAAGAAAAGTACTTAATTTCTTTGGAAAAGGACATAGACTGTCAGCTAAGAAATCACAGTATGATTGTATGAGCCCCTAATAAAATGATTTTAAAAAAAAAGAAATCACAGTATGATTATCAATAAATAAGACATTCTTGAATATGCAATGTCTTAGAACATTCTGTATTATTAGTAATTTCTTCTACTTCTATGCTCATTTCCATAAACCACATTTTACATAATGGACTACAATTAATTTACCTTGAAGTAGCCTTCTTCAGAAGCTTTTTAATATTGTTAATTTTACAGGTGTGTTCCTGATGGATAACCACAAATGCATTACAGCCATCTGGTGGTGGCTCATCAGCTGCAATCTAAGATTTCAAAGATTATATTTAGCTGCAGTAGTTGATAATTACACTATCACTTTTAAAACGCCTACATTCCTTTGATTAAAATAACTCATCAACGACTATTAAATTATAGCTGTAATTAAAATAAAAAATAGCTCTGTAGAGGCACAAAGATAAAGGCAAAAATCAACTTTATTCTAGAAAACTGCTTCACAATTGCAAAAATTCTATTAGATTAAAATTTTAATTATAGTTTCAATGATATGGCCTCAAAATTTATTCCAAACAACTCTAAAAATTTGAGAATATGCTAAATTATGACCCATGACATACGATAGAACCAGGTATTAAAAATGTGCCGATTCCTTTGAAAGAGATGTTAATATTAAGATAGCATTCTGGATGTTACTAGCATGTCTCTTTGTTAAATACAGCGTCAGTATTTTTACACACCTGTTGAAACATCTGAATCGTGGGAGAGTATGCCCTTATAGACAAAGCAAACTTTAAGAGATTGATGTGCAAGTTGTCCAGGAATTGTCCAGCTTTCTTCAGGATTAAATTGTAGTAAGAGTAAGCTGATTCTATTTAAAAAAAAAAAAAAAAAGTCAGTGTGTAAGAAAGAGCAGGCTTTCTACTCCCGTGATGAGCCACAGTCTGGGACACCCCAGAGGCAGTTCTACCCTAGCCCACAGAGTCAGAATAGCAGTGGGGTTGGTTTTGTTTTCCTTACAGTGCTAACCTTCTAGACAAGAAATCTGAGCTACAGGAGGGCATGAACAACAACAACAGGGACATTCCATTAGTGAGACACCATTAAACGAGGCAGGGTGTTGACTTGCAGAGTCAATGCGCTTCGGGCATTTTTTCAGAGCTGAAGGAGTTGTGTAAGAGGCCAAGGGACCCTGTGGCTGGGACATCACGGCTGTGCCTGCGAGCGTAGCCGAAGAGGTTCTGCTGTGGAGAAAAGGGCTAGATCTTTAATGTTTTCTGCTTCTTACTGGTGAAAACTTGTTAACTTCTCGAATAATCCCCCATAGTCATGAGGATTGTCTACGAGTTCCGTGTGGTCACTCTAATGAATTATTTAACCCAGCAGAGTACTGTGGGAGGGGTGGTTGGTGCCAGAATTGGGTGAGCAAGTTGGATGGTAGAGATATGTTTGATGTTTGCTTTATAAGAATCATCCTTGGACACGTGAAGTTGAATTCTCCCATTCCCTTATAATAGTTGTTTTCTACTCTCATTACAATCTTAGAAACTTACAGGGGCAGTTCTGCCCTGTCCTACAGAATTACTGTAAATCTGCATGGATTTGATGTTAAGGAATTTGGTTTTGGTTTTTGTAATATTTAGGTTTATGTCAACTTGCCTGGACTAGGATTCTCAGTAGCTTGACATTGAGGTCGGTCACTCCCATGATATGGCCTAACATAAAACAACTCCATACTGGTGGGATCTGCTCTGAGCACCAAGCAGTTGTGGGAAGATTAGTATGTAGTGCAACCCCTTACTCAATTCACAGCCCTCATGCTATTTCCTTGGTGATGTAGTCTACTTCATATACATGAGGGGGCACCTCGGCACCCCCACCCACCCCCCCGAAGAAAAAAAGTTCTGCTGGGCAGAGCTTTCATAGTGCACATTTTCCCCACTAGGCGAGAAGCTAGCAACTCACTCTGAGTTAGTACACACAGTGCTGTCGCCTAGAAAGGTTCTCTGTGGTTGGCGAATTTTTTAGTGAAAGCAGTTTCACTCAAACCTCGTTTCTGTGATGGACAATTTAAGAGACCAGCATGCAGCTATGAAATGTTGTTTCCTGCTTGGGGAAAATGCTGCAGAAATTGTTGTGATTTAGAACACAGCTACAAGCTCAGCGCTATGGAAAAAACTCAAGTGTAGGAGTGGTTTTCTTGGTTCAGAAAAAAGTGAAATGTCAATTAATGACAAACCTCGTTCTGGACATCCATCAACTTCCCGAACAGATGAAAACATCGACTCATAGTACATTTGGAGTTCATTCCACCAGGTCAGACTGTTAATCAAGCTTTCTATTTAGAGGTTCTAAATAGACTGTGTAACAGTGTGTGACAAAAAGGCCTGTTCTGTGGCAACTGGGGGACTGGTTTTGCCATCACAACAATGCACCTGATTATGCAGCAATCTCAATGCACCGGTTTTTGGCAAAAAACAGCTTTGCCACTCTTGCCCCATGCATCTTACTCACCTGACCTTGCTCAGGGCAACTTCTGTTTCTCTGAATGAAGAGGGGCATGAAAGGATAACTATTTGACGACATGTAAGAGGTGAAGAAAAGGGACAAGAGGAAAGTAAAAGGAAATAGAGGAAAGAAGTAGGAGGCAAAGGGCATTTATAGAGGTCTAAATACAGCCATGTACATATGTAAATATATTTATATATGATGTTGGGGAAATAAATGTACAGGTTTAGTATTAAGGTAGCAGATGGGTATTGGGCCTCCACTCAAGCCCTCCCTCAATAAAAGAACAATCTATTCTATTAAACTGGCATTCCATGATGTTCACCTTCCTGACACGATCACTGAAGACAAAGGTGTGCATAAGCAAGTGTGGTCAAGAAGGCTGATGGTGCCCGGCTATAGAGAGATAGAGCATCTGGGGTCTTAAAGGAAGGTAAACAAGCGGCCATCTAGCCCAGAAGCAACAAAGCCCACATAGAAGAAGCACACCAGCCTGTGTGATCACAAGGTGATCAAAGGGATCAGTTATCAAGCACCAAAAAACCAAAAAATCATATCATGAATGAGGGGGAATGTGGGGTGGGGACCCAAGGTCCATCTGTAGCCAACTGGACATCCCCTTGCAGAGGGGTTGCGGGAAGGAGACAAACCAGTCAGGGTGCAGTGTACCATCAATGAAACACACAACTTGCCTCTAGTTCTTAAATGCTTCATTCCCTCCCTCTCCCCAACTATCATGATCCAAAATCTACCTTGCAAGTCCGGCTGGACCAGAGGATGTACACTGGTGCAGATAGGAACTGGAAACACAGGGAATCTTGGACAGATGAACCTCTCAGGACCAGTGGTGAAAGTGGCAATACCGGGAAGGTGGGGTAGTAAGGGGAACCAATTACAAGGATATACATATAACCTCCTCCTTGGAGGATAGACAACAGAAAAGTGGGTGAAGAAAGACATCAGTTAGTGTAAGATACGGCAAAATAATAATAATAATTTATAAATTATGAAGGATTCATGAGGGAGGGGGAACGGGGAGGGAGGGTAAAATGAGGAGCTGATACCAAGGGCTCAAGTGAAAAGCAAATGTTTTGAGGCTGATGAGGGCAACAAATATACAGATGCTCTTGATACAATGGATACATATATGGATTGTGATAAGTTATACGAGCCCCCAATCATTTAAATCATTTTTAAATGATTTTTAAAAAAAAGGAGGTGAAGAAAATAACGAGGGAGCCATCCAAACAGGTGAGTTTGAAAAATGTTTCTAAGAAAAAAATCCAAGTTTTTGTGGGTACCTCCTCATGTAAGTACATACTGTAGAGAATATATTTACTTTGTGTAGATCTGGACTCTGTATCTAGCACATCAATCTCCACTTTTGGGGACATGAGCCAACTGCCTACCATAATGCCTGCTGACCTGGGAGTCACCAGAGCCTGCCCTTTCACTTGCCAACAATGGATTCACCCACCTCTGCATCCACTAGCTGTGGTCTCCCTTGTGGGAAACAAAGATTTCTCCCAAGTTGTCTCCCCCAAATATATGGCTTAGGTTACTGCTTGCCGCAAATGACTGTCAAGTTACCTCCCTGAAGGCAGTCAGTTACCAGACTACTGTCCAGTCCCATCAAGGGTATGGCCTGCTTCCTGCTGTTAAGGACAATGGGCTACTTCTCCCTAAAGGCCTGCAGTCATCAATTTGGTTCCTGTAAGTGGGGTTCACACCCTACTGATAATGCTCTCTACAGTTGAGCCAGGGAACAGATCAAACTGGTTCAGTGACATCCAAAGTTAGGCTACCATCCTGAATCTAGGATGCGGCCATCTTGCCACATATATACCCCCAATCCTTCCTCTTCCTATTGCGTGGATACCCCTAGATCACCCCCCTCCCATTACTGTATTCCCTATAGCACAACCCTTTCCTGTGACGTATGTCTTCACCTGTAATTAGGGGGCTTGTATGTCCCCAGAGAATATAAAAACCTTCATTAGTAATAAATCTCTCTCTCTCTCCACGTGGACCACCAAGTGAGGCTGAGGTGAGCATTGCCACCACGAAATGTGTCTGACTCCATTATTCCTATCTCTCTTGTATTGCTCATGCTCTTTAGGACTTTACTATAATCTTTATTTATTATCGCTGTACAATTGCGTCTACCGGGCCCCTGATGATGTGTTAGGGGTTGGATTACCCTGACACTCCTTGCTTCATTAAAAAAAAATTTAAACAAGAAGTTTATTGAAACAACATGACGCTTGACTCGAAGGGGAAACTATCAAGATGCATTTCTTTAAGAGTAATTTGTCCCTACTTAAAGACAGATTGCCCTACATGTAACAGCTACATACAAAAAAATATTATAAAATTGCCCTTCATTTTACAATGATAAATGAAAAACATTAAAATTCTCCAATTGACCAAGGTATAAGGCAAAGACTTTTTTTGGTCTTTTTGTTTGTTTCTTTTTTTTAAACATTGAGAGCAAAATAACTTACTGCACTGTAAAGAGAAGAGCTGAAAGATGCCACTATTGGAGAAGGGGTGTTTTCACAGAACTAGTATTTATTTTCCCGACCCCATCTCTACTTGATGTCAAACAAAACATACCATTGGCCATTTAAGTAAAAAAGCAAAATAAACAAGGAAAAAATGCAGTATGTGTGTGCATATGCACCAGTCATTTTAAGTATAATAAAGGAAAGGGGAAAGGAAATAAAAGAATAGAGAGATCTAGACGGTAATTGTGGTTTTCTAATTGAGAGTGGATTCTTGGTTGGTAGAAGAGTTCTGGAGGAACGGAGCAGGCTCCCTTTTAGAAGACGCCTCCTGTCTGCTGATGGAACACATCAATCATTCCCAACTGTGCAGTTGAGTCTGTCTCATTGATTGACTATCTGTCAAAATGGAAACTGATTCGCCTCACTGACAAACCCTGTCATTGACAATGGGCTTTCATTAGCTTACTAAGTGAAGGATGCCTCTTAATCTTAACCTGCACCATAGAACCATCTTCCCCTGCCAGCTTCAACTTAATACAGTCATTGTTCTCAGTCTCGACTCCTTCCTTGGCTTTCTCATTGGCCATGGTGAGTGCTGGAGTCAGCTGCCACTTCACAAAAGAGGTACCAGGTCCACACCGAATGAGCCCATGTTTCTGCTTCCTGGTCCATCATCCTAATTCCTAGTTCATCAGTCTTACAACTATACCAGTCAGGAAAAGCCTCTAGTTTAACATCTGACCCATTTCTACAACTGTGTGAGCCACTTTCTTAATATAAATGTGAGTGTGTGTGTGTGTGTGTGTGTGTGTGTGTGACTGGTTTTGCTTCTCTAGAGAACCTGTGTAGGTGGAAG